TTGAAAAACCCTTGAAAAACCCTTGATCAGAGAAGTTAGTTGGGTATCCGTTTCTGTCATGTTAATTCAGTATTTTGTAAACATTCGTCACAAACAATAATTGTTTTTAACACAGATTGATCGTCAAATTGCAGATCGTAGAAATTTTTAATAATTCCGGAAAATAAATACCGATGAAGTTTCAAGTTTTACTTTTTCAATTTGTATCATTACTGTGATGAATTGAGTAAGGCTCGTAGTAAAAGCGCCAAAGTGACAGACGGTCATCCGCATTAAGAGTATTGTTAACTGGAGGGGAACACAAATGCAACAACTGCGATGGGGAAGTGTGTTTTTAACCGCAAATGGCTTGACGATCCCAGATTTTTTTGGGTGAGGGAGTTCAAGGGTGATAGGACTTCTGCTTTGTGCTCGCCTTGTAACAAAATTGTCGATCTGGGCAAGATTAAGGAATACGCTCTTACATCACATGAAAAGTCATAAAGAGGTGAACATTTTTCGGGGACCGCTTCGACTCGGCCTTTGACACTTTTATACCAAACCCTCTACTTCAACAGCAAGTACATCGAGACCTACCTCGACTGTTCCTAATCCGAACACGGATGCCGATGACTTTCCTTCAATCCTAGCCCCTCAAGGCCTTGTTGTTCATTAAAATTGTTTGTTTATTTTGCAATATAACTGAGCCCTTAAATTTTCAAAATTTGTCTTGAAAAACCCTTGAAAAGTCCTTAAATTTGGAGGTCAAAAGTTTGGATAAATTTGTTATCGCCCACTTTCACCGAAACGGGGATATTAATTTGGGGTTGTCCGTCTGTATGTCACGCTTTGTTTCCGTGCAATAACTGCAACAAATTTTCTTCAAACTTGGTAACAGGGTTAAATGCCTTAAGGGCTCGTCCAAGTTTGATTTCCACTTTCAGCAAACTTTATTTGGCAGAGTTATGGCCCCTTGAATAACAAAAAACGTCATTATCTGCAGTTTCCGCTTAATAACTAGCAAATATTAGTCAAATTCCTTCAAATTTGATAACAATGTTTGCGTTCCTCTGTCTTTCCACCCATCTCGGGCACTCGTTGGTTTTCATGTGATAATTGCTGTAGATATTGTGCAGATAATTCAACCAAATTCTGTATGCACAACCGACTCATCCTAAGTTTGCCAACCGATGTGATTTGTGCATATATACAGATAATAAATGAGGTATAAGGCTTTTTTTTCTTCAGGTTTCAAGCTATATATTATATCCTAACAGCACGATACTCACATGTTTAAACCTAACCTCAATAATGTTTACCTACAATATGTGCTGTAATTAGCGAGGGATATGAATTCCACAAATTTGCTTGTTTCCCTAGATATTGTGATATTAAAAACATTTTTTACCAGTATTCAAAACTATGGGAATTGGATACATTTTCAACAGGTTTGTTTGTGCACCTGCCCAAAGGGCTAGTGAGCTGATGCCGTGGCCCGGCGTCTGTCATCCGTCCGTCGTCTGTCAACTTTTCCTTTGAACGACTTCTTCTGAAGAATGGCCAGGCCTAGAGTCATGATATTTGGTTGATAACTTTGTTGGTTAGAGCCTAACAATGTTTGAGAACGAAAATGACCTTGACCGACTATCAAGGTCACAGTGGTCAAAAGTGTCAAATAATTAAAACGACTTCTGAAGAACTGAAAGGTATAGAATCCTAATATGTGGCTGGTAGCTTCGTTGGTAAAAGCCCAACAAAATATGGAAACGAAAATGACCTAGACTCGGTAAAAGCCCAACAAAATGTGAGAACGAAAATGACCTAAACCCACTATCAAGGTCACAGGTCAAATATATCAAACTTATCAAACGACATCTTCTGAATATTTGAAATGCATAGAATCATATTATTTGGCTGGTTGCTTCTTGGGATTGAGCTCAACAATGTTTGCGAATGAAAATGACCTCAACCTACTTTCAAGGTCACAGGGGCCAAATATGTCAAACACTTCAAATGACTTCTTCTGAATAGTCGAAAGGCGTAGAATTATAATATTTGACTGGTAACTGTCACAGATGTAGCCCGACAAAGTTTGCTATTGATAATTACCTCAACCTACTTTCAAGGTCACAGGGATCAAATATAGCAAACACTGCAAACAGCTTCTTTTGAAGAAGTGAAAGGCATGGAGTCGTGATTTTTAGCTCACCTGGCACGAAGTGCCAAGTGAGCTTATGCCGTGGCGCGGCGTCCGTCGTCCGTCCGTCGTCCGGCGTCAATATTTTACTTTAAACGACTTCTTCTTAATAACTGAAAGGCCTAGGGTGTCAATATTTGGCCAGAAGCAAACTTGGATGAAGGGCTACAAAGTTTGTTCAAATAAATGACCTTCACCTATTTTCAAGGTCACAGGGGTCAAATATGTCAAAAACTTTAAACATCTTCTTCTCAATAACCAAAATGCCCAGGGAGATGATATTTGGCCAGTAGCATGCTTGGGTGAAGGGCTACCAAGTTTGTTCAAATGAATGACCTTCAATTATATTCAAGGTCACAGGGGTCAATTGTATTAAAAAA